GGGAAGCCCTGGCGCTGCGGTGCCTCCTCCTACCGCTCGGCACAGTTGTCCTGGCAACGGAACACTGTCATCTTCTTGTAGTCGAAGAAGGACACGCCACGCAGCGCCCGCCGCCGGGTGTTGTCCACGTAGCAGCCGATGTACCTCGCTGGGGGGAGGGCAGAGGAAAAGGGGGGTAAGAACCAGCCGGGGCTGAGCCCGTGATTCGCACCACACTCTTTTCATCTCTCCTTACATAGGGATGTCCCTCCTTGTGGCAGAAACGCCTCCTCTGGGTACCACGTTCTCCTGCACAGGCTGTGAGGGGAGGTGGGTACAGCCCAGAAACACCCGCTGCTGTCAGAAAGGGTTTGCCCCAAGGCTTCTCCTCTCTGTGCTGCTCCTTCCCGCTGGCCTCAAAACGGAGCCAAGTGGCTCCAGAAGGAGAGGAGTGACGTGGTACAACAGCCTGTCCCGTCCCCTCTGGAGCCCCTGTCCCTGGAGGTATCTAGAACCCATGCAGATGTGGTGCTGAGGCACATGTGGTGGCCCTGGCAGGGCTGGGTTAAAGGCTGGACCTGATGATCTGAAATGTCTTTTCCCACCCAAACCATTCCATGTGTGACCCAAAAAGGGAAGCAATATTCCCAGACCCCTCACAAGCAGCTAAATCAGCCATGCCCAAGCCCAGCATCCCCCCAATCCCACAGGGCTGGGCAGGGGGGCACTGCTGGAGGTTGATTGGGGAGGACACGTCTCACACGGCTGGGGACAGCAGTGGCTGCAGGGGGGTTCTGGTGACTGACACTCGGGCTCATGAACCATCTGGTGAGGACTCACTACACGTCAGCTCACATTAATGGAGCAACAAGGCCACAGGCACCTCGCAAAGCCTCCCGGAGACCCCCCTGCGTGGGGGCACGGTGGGAAACCCCCCTTTCATCTCACTTTCACATGAGAATATCCCTTAACCACCACAAGCAATTTTTCACCCATTTCCAAGCCTGGACTGTGCATCTTGCCTGGATGACTGTGAGCACAGACCTGGCAGGGGCAGGGGAGGAACCCCCCATGTGCCAGGAGCCACCTGGGCCAGGGGACAAGCCCGGCTCAGCACCATGATCCTCATAAAACCCCCTATTTTCCGTGGGATTGTGAGTTCCCATTTTGGGGTGTTTTTTTTTCCCCAGCAGGAACACCTGCTCTTACACCCCCCCTGCTCCCTGCTGCAGCTCCCAGCCTGGGATGCTCAGGGAACTGCTCCAAGCCCCACAGAGCAGCTCCAGAGGAAATCCCAGTTTGGAGCACAAGATGGCTCAGCCTCCACAGGCTCCCCACAGACCTGCTTCCCCCCGCCAGAGATTTTGCCAACCTTGGGCCTCAGGAGAGGAGATCAAGCAGCAACAGGCAGAGCAGAGCCCGGCAGCATCCAAGTACCTCCCCAGCTGTTCCCTCTCCCAGTTCCCACCTGAGCTTCCTCTACTGGGCGATGCTGCCCCAAGTGCTGAGACACAGAACCAGAGAATCCCAGAATCCCAGGCTGGTTTGGGTCCTTCTCTGAGGAGCCTGTTGCAGTGTCTCACCACCCTCATAGTGAAGAATTTCTCCCTACTGTCTAACCTCAGCCTCCCCTCTTCCAGTTTAAGGCATCACGCTGCTGCTGTGGCTGTGCTGGAGCAATAACCTGGATTGCTCCTCCTTGCCAGCCCACTCCATTAAGGACCAGAAGCAGGAGATGCTCCTCCAGAGCCAAGCAGAGGGGGGGACACAGGGTGTGTTGGGGTGGGGTTTGCCAGCTCTGGGTGCTCGTATGTGCCAGGAAAAAAACACTGTGATGCAAAAGCCCTGCTGGGCAGTTCTTGGCCACCCAGAGTGACTTGAGCTGTGAACAGCTGCCTTTGGGATAAATAACTGACATTTTAAAAGTCAATGAGAGCTACTACAGCTGCTTCTCCTTGCTCAGGAATAACGGTGCCACCCAGCAGCACAGCAGCCAGGCAGGGATCTCCCAGCTCCAGAGGCCAAACCCCAGCCCTGCCTGCACCACAGGCAGCCCCTGCCTCAACAGCCAAACAACGGGATCAATCTGTTTGTAACATTCATCAGGGCCAAAAGAATGAAAACTGAATTTGGCCCGTGGCAGAGCTGAAGGATGGGATGGTGCTGGGGTGCAGCACCTCCTCATCCAGCTTCCTGAAGTGCCCAGCCCAGCAAGGAGCTCAGAGCCTGACAATGCACAAGTGGGAAAGAGAGAAAACGGGAAAAGGGAAGTGGATTATAAGCACTTGGGGAGGGAGGGAGGAGAGGACCTTTCTGGGAACATCCTCAGGACCAGCAGTGTCCAGAGCTGGGTGCTGCACCCTGAGGGGTGGGGGAAGGAAACCTTAACTCTGGGGTAGCAGGAGCACGTGGGTTATACATCAATAAACACACATCTACTGGGGGCACTTGCCTGGCAATGTGTTCCTGGCAGGACTGCACAACCAAACCAGCTCAGAGACAACCTCCCCAGCACAGGAGGCTTTTCCAAGAGCAGGGACCCCCCCCCTTTCCCCGGACACATCTGTCCCAAACACCTACCTCTGTCCTCCTCCTTCTCACGGCCGCTCCTGCCCCTGAGCACCCGGCTCCGGTTGCTGCCGTAGTCTCCTCCTTTGCCCCTTTCCGCCGGCCCCTTGGAGGTGCTTTTGAACCAGGGTCCGTGTCTCCGTGCCCCCTCCGGGATCGTGGCCGCCCTGAACCCGCGGCTCAGCTCCATCACCCCCAGGTAGGGCAGCCCCGGTCCCCCCGCAGCCCCAGCCCCGCGCTC